GTTTGTACCAAATCAAGTCTGCGATTATCAGGTCACCTCGTGATCTGCGATATCATCCGCTGAATGGCCCAGTCGTTTCAGCCCCTGATCGTACAATACGTGACACATTTTAATGGCGTATTTGGATGCCCGACATAAAGGCTAGTTAAACATTCAGCTATGGATGCCAAGCTTGAATGGCATATTCAACATGGATTTGAACATTACGCTGAACTTATGTCAAAAAAATAAGTATGTTAATTAGTCCGGACACTGGTTGCGACGGCCCAATGTTTGCTTCCCATGCTTCGAGGCATTTTGGCTTTACTGCAGCGACACGGTCATCCTGAATAAGCAGGTATAAATCACGTCGACTTTTAATTGTTGCAAAACACTCGTACCGTGTCGGTGTGTGTATCTTCTCTGATATTGTATAGAGAAGTCCGCACATTTACTCACGTGAAAACGTGCTGCTTAGTGTTGACTATTGTCTTACCGTAGCTAGGTCACTCTGAAGTAGCTGTTGGTCGGCATTCAAATGAATACTGTGACTACCCTTGATATTTCGACAAACATGTGTAGCCTGAAGCGATTGCCCGGGCGTGGTAATCACCAAAACAGTCGTGGAGCAAGAACTGAGCCTTGCAGCACACCATACTCGACTTCTATGGCGTCCGGTAAAGAGGTTTTAACTCTGACTAATGGTTGCCGTCACAGTACAGTGTTGCCGAAGCAGCTTAGAAGAGGTCGACTGATCCAGCAATGCTGGACCTTTAAAAGTAAAACCGATGATCTAGACGATGGAAAGCCTTCGAAATATCTATCTAATTTCTAGCGTCATATGAATCCCAACCACTAATGCGTACGATTGTAAAATTTTTGCATTAGTAGCGCTCGACACAAGCCTTGATGCTCGCCCCGCATGGTGTAACAGTTTTGTAGATTACCCAAAATTGTACTGGTATAAACGGATTCCATGAGTTAGGAGAATATAGGTAGAAGGGGACTGGGTGAGATTTCGAGGGTTTAGTTCTAGTTCCATCTGTGTGATTCGAGGTAATTATTCCAAGCTTTCAAATGGCAATAATATAGTTCGGGTCTAAGCAACGCTATTAAAACTGAGGTAAAGTCCTGCTAGTTGGCGTGCTGCTGCTCCGAGTGCACCTGAACACCCAGTATCAATACTCGGCGGGTTGTGTTTGCGTACAGACTTTTGGTTCCGAGACAAAAGACCTGTGGGTTAAACTGGGCGGCTGGAAGACAAAGGCTGTATGGTCGTTTATTGACAAGGCCCTCTGAAACGTGGGGTATATTGCATCCGCAGCGCGTTTGATGATTTCATAGCCATTCATGTTGGTCTGTCGACGGTCCTGAGTGGAGCAAATCCTTGCCCAATTTTGTAGACAATGAGATTAGGAGAAGCGGAGGCTGACCTTCAGGAATTAAATGCTTAATGTTATATAGTGCTGTATATAAAATTCTTGGACCTAACAAGTTAGAAAAGTTATGTAGTGCAACACAGTCTTTGCTGGAGTTAAGTATCATTTACACCAGACCTGTCCCTTGCAACGCTGCAGCTGGCGCTACATTGGGGCGTTATTGGGGTTGTTAAGCAGTCAGCTTGAAAGTCATGGCGGTTTCACGCTACATCTGTGCATCAGTGACATAAGCTGCTGGCTGGGGCCGCTAGACAATACTGGACACGTTTTAAATTCTGATGTAGTCCAATAATACGAGTAATTGTTGGGTTTCGATAGGTATACACGATTGTAATCAACTTCGGGACATGTGGAAGACAATACTACTTTGATGCTTGTGCAAAAATGCACAATTAATTCGTAGGAGTTTTGATTATAGTGTAGGCGTCCGTCTTCTAAACAATTACAGACAGCGAAAACTTTGCAAACAATAGGTATTTTACTCTTCATTACATTACTTATATCTGCGGTAAGCAGTGTTGGCTCAACATTTTACATATCGTATGTCTGGTCTGATGTCCGATGCCATTGTGTTGTGTATGCTTCGTTAAAACAATGTACAAAACACATTCCGTCACCAGTCGCGTTTATGCTGAATACACACGGTATAATTCCATCAGCATTATTTTGATGATTTCACATACAATATTCACGGAATGATAATTGTTATGCATTTTTACATTTAACTGAATATTGTATACAGCGGAATATTCAAGTTCCAAACCGGATTTTCCTAACAATAACAGTGATTAGCCTGGTTGTGGCATAATTAGATTTCCATTACCCAGCTACTATAATTGACGTCGTAGTCAGTGTTTTTTCCAAAATGAATTCAAACATCGCGGATCATTTCTACAGAAGGGCTATATAATTTTGCTGATGGACTTTTATTTCGTGCGGTCGGAATTATTTCTTACTCAGTAACCAATGCTGGTTTTACTCTCCTTGACTTGAAAAATGTGTTACGTAGGTATGCATTTCAATTAGCTTTTGTAAGTGACAATGGCTCATTTTGCTCAGCTTCACTTGTTGCCAATTAAATGCAGATAATTGGTGTCGTCCACATTTTATTGCTCCAGGACATCCATAGTCTAACGGTCCAACAATAACGTTGATTTAACTTTACAACGTTCTGTTATCTCCTGTACTCCTACTTCATGTAATCATTGGTGGCTGTGTTGATAATTTCCTTCTTTTATATCTTAAATTTGTGCACTCCGTCCCTTGGAAATACAGCCTTAAAATGTGGACATCCGGGAAAAATGGTCACGCATTCTTTGAATGGAAACCTATGTTGTGTTGTATTTTAGTGTAAAGGACTGACTTTCTTCACTTGGAATCACTGTTAACAAACTTGGAAATCGCATCGTTAAAATCCTTGATATCGTTGACTGCTTTGTAAATGAATTGCATACTTATAAATTACGACACAAGGATTCCGTTCCGTTCTCAACCGCTTCAATTCCGTTTCAGATTCTCATAAGTATTGTTATAGTCATCAGATGATTAACGACCCACGACGTCGAGTGACAATATTGAACGGGGACTCAGGCACCTTGATTATTTAAAATGGCTTCATCGCCTTCGTCTCTTCTACATAAAATGACGGCGGTTCGGGGTACTTTGAACTTCGTAGCTCCAATTCTATCCAAACATGGATAATACAGCAGTCATTTGTTGAAACTGCACAATTTAACTTCCCATATTTTTATTCATCAACTCCGGCTCTCACAACAGCACATCCGGGTGAACTGCGGTCGACATTTCTTCGCCCTGTGAGTCTGACGACCGACTGCCTGCAGTCGGAATCTCGGCGTTTTAGGTGGATATTTTCTAGACTCAACTGGACCATCATTTTATCGATTTGTATCGTGATATTTCCTGAGACAACCCCTGCAGCCTGGAAAATCATACCCTAGGATAACACTAATCCTCTCTCTGTGGCAAACTTCGACAGACGCTACAGCTTGTTTTCTTTCCAACCTCAACCCCTCCGATTTAGAAGTTGGAGAACATATATTATTTAGGCCAAATTTGTTCTTTTCCTAGCTGAATCAGAGGTGGTGGGTGCCACGCTTCGTGCCGGCGTTCGTTTTAATTAAACGCCACGTAGGCCCCATGAGAAAATTGCTAACACACAAATCCATCCTGCTATGTGATTTCTTTAGCTTTGTATATGAACCAAACATAATTCTCTATCCCTTCTGACAGATAAAGCACAAGCTTTTCTCCAGAAATATAATGCTCTAATACAATGATCCGATAGATTGCAACAAAACTCCCATTTAAAGTATAGAAATCTGTAGTTGCATTCAAGCTGCGGAGGACCAGCTGATTATACAAATAACATGCAATGTGTCAAAATTGTTATTCGTTTCACCTACGGACTTAGAATATATACCCCGCGAAACGTGCATTCTATTGGGGCCTTCTTCCTACAGTTCGATATTGCCTGGATGGAGCCAAAAACTAGTTCGAAACCATACATAATATACTAACGTTAAAACATGTTTTTAAGCCTGCTAAATTGTTCGCATGGTTCAGTAAAGGCTTTATGCTCAAGGCTCTACCCACATATAGAGCCACCGATATAAATGAATTGCAACAGCTGGTCCCATCAGTAGACAGTCGGTCCTGTTTCATCATTGGTACACAGGATATTATGAAGATTGTTAAACATGGATTTCAAAGGTATTTGGTCGCAGTCCTTCTTGAGTTAGCTGACACACATTCGCCTGAGATAGTATCAGACCTGCCTCCTGGATACAAACTGCTTGCACCAATATGCTATGGGTAAACGCAGCGGATCAGGATGACTGACAATTGACTACGATTTAGCCAGTCACTTCGTCAAATCTCATGCCACTTACGAGCTGTTAAATAGTCAGTGGCTGTACTAAACTGCTTGAAATTTCCGCAAATCGATTGTGTGAGACATCACGATTAAAACATTATATATGGAGTTATTTTCCCGTACGTTATCGTACACTAGGAATTTCAAATCTACCTTTGCAAGCAAATCAAGTGTGACATAAACGCATGTTCTGGTGAACTGACGTTGAATTACGTGGTCCAGTGCAAACTTTCTAATAAATACGTACCATTTCATTTATTTTATGATTTGGCTATAACTAATGTAGACTGTTAGTTACTTTGGAGACTCAGTACCTTAGAGATACAGTAGGTGAATTTAAGTAATTCTTTTCGGATAAGCATTCACCCCTTCCTGTGTGCATACTTTTTCTTTCATAGTGCCTTCTCAAATGGTCGCGAACGGAAAGCATTTTGGTGAGATAGCTTTAATATAATATCTACAGTCTTCAGTAAAGTTGCGGTAGGGATATTTTATTTGGTCGAAATAGAAATGACCCATACTCTCGGTAACATTATTAGCGTAAGCCTAGTAGTTATATTACACGTAGTTTACTATTGACCGCATTTCCATTCTAGCCCAAACAACCAGTCTATAACCCTAAACATCTCTTTAATCTTTATCCCATTGGAACAGAATTTATGATAACGTTCAGTGCCTTAGCACTGCCAATGTCGCAACGTGAACGGTTAACTGAAGTAGCTGTGTGCAACAGAGTAAGTGGGTCCATAAGTGTCCGTTACTTTAAAATTACTGTCAAAAATCTTGTGAAACGAAGTGCCCAAATTTATGTGATATACATAGTTGAGAGAAAGATGGATGCTGCCTACTTATTTTCTTTAACACCAGATTACAAAATTTGCAACACAAAGGATAAAGGATTGCAAAATAACCACGCGGGAGGTCAACTACGGCATTGCTTCTGTTTCAATTTACTCAACAAACATATCCGTTTGGGAAGCGCAGCTCCAACTTATGCGCGACCTAAACTCGCAAACCACAAAATATTGCCATTTCAATGTGGCGAATGCGGTGATCTTCAAAGGCTACTAAGCAGTAAAACAAAACTCTTCATACAGAATGACGGTGAAACACAAATTCGACCGTATTATCAAGTGTTTTCTGTTTTTTACCTGATTTCTCCTAACTGCTGTTGCACCAGTTTTCTTTAAAACGCGCAAATATTTTATTTGAAATTGCAAGGTAACAATAAATCTACGTATTAAAATATGGATGTCCTTTTGATAACATGAGGACATTTGAAATTACTGCCACCTTTTAATGTGAGCTAATGAAATTTGATTTCACAACTTAGAAAGAAGAAGGAATCAGCGGTCAAATATGTGTCGGCATTATGCATTTGATTGCGCCATGTTCGCTTCTAGTTAAACCAGCGTAATAATTCGGTTAAATTACTCTTGCACGTATATGCAGATATATAGGTTGTTCAGATGCAAAGAGAAGCGGGTTGCAGCACATTTATTTGGTTACGGATTCAACCTACGCTTTTCACGCGGCAGCTCATATGTCGTAGAAATACTCTCTCTAGCCAAATTATCACATCACTTGGAATACCTTTATGCCATACAGTATACCGGCTCCAGCAGCAAGTTTCTGCGCAGACTGAACGTCAGTTGTCCAGTCGCCGACCAAAGCAATGCGCCTCTTCACTTTACGAGTATCGATATCCTGGCGAGTGCGCACACAGTCGATACGATGATTCAAATGTATTATATACCATGGTATAAGAAATTTCGTTTGAGCGTGATCCTAAAACCTGAGCGAAATTAAAACGCTAGTCAGTCGTGAATATGACTACCCCAATGAACAAATGCAACTTATGTTTTAACCCGTAAGTTAGCGCTAACGTTTTGCAAATCATGTAAGACGTATTCTTTTTAATGGAAAAAGTTATCACATCGCTAAACAAAACATCACAAATGTGAACTTGCAGTAGTTTGATTGCGCAATTTAGGCAAATCCATCCTAGTGTGCGACTGCATAATCGTGCTAAGGAAAGAGTCTGGAGACTGATGAAATTAGTTACGGATCTGGCGAACACAATGTTACAAAACCAACAGAATAGGTATTTAGTTTTACTTGTCAACGAACATTGTTATATTCATTGGTATTTCATCACAATCTACTATCCGTCCGCAAAATTTAGCACGTTTGTAGAAGCAAATGACAACCATTTTCTGAGCTTCAGTTTCTCGCAAGTAGTGCGCAATACTTGGAGCCATGCCGGGTTACGAACATATGAATTCCCAGTACAGGCAGCACGTACCACTTAGACATGGGTGACGGCCGCCCAAATGCATGATTTCCAGTAGAATATAATATAGTCTGCATCACTTTCCACTGCCATGAAGATTAGGAAATTGAAGCGAGTTGGGAATTCCCGCATAGAGACTAGGTGCGACACAGCACTTAGAAGCTGTACAAACGCAGCCTCCTTGCGGCACAGCATTTCTAATACGTCGGAGAGGCTGATACCTAGGTTCGTGATTGCTGCTTCTTCTGTGACAACATTATCAAGCGGAATGAAAGCATCCGTATAAAAATGATTTGTCATCTTTACCAGTTAGTCAAAGAGACAACCTTGGTCCGCTGTACGGAAATTGAATTAAACTCACAGGAAGGGAGCTAGACACGTCTTGAGCTGACCAAATGAAAAGCGCGAAGTAAAGCGACGAATGATCGGAAAACAGTCAATCCTTCCTGATCAGGTTGCTACAGAGAAAGGTGCATGCAAGAACCTAGCTAGCAGTGTCTCTGACGCAAAAGACGTTAGTTGTTATTCGGTAGCGCTGTCGAGTTGCTAGCACTGTGTTGTTGTCCGCCGGGCAATTATGTCGCAACTGTGCGTCGAAATGCACGATGCCGGACGGTGGTCAGATGTGCAGATGATTGCGTGTTGCTTAACTAGCCATGCGGCATGGTTTCCTCATATTCTCGTGATGTCATCATTGTGCCGACAAGAAATGAAGTGAAGCAGGTCTTACCTTCACAACCTGTTGGAAGTGAAGAACCAAACACGCCAAGCATATCAGGTGAGAGACACGTTGAAGTTTGATTAATTAAATTTCAAAACCTGCCACAGTTGGATGGTCGTATTACAACTGCGGAACCGAGGCGACCACACGGGGTTTTCAGAGTAAATATCTGCCAATTAGTTTTCATTTGTATTTGAAGGCGGTGTACGGGGTTGCGGCCCGTTTCAGTACAGTTGTCATAGGCAGTTGGCTGGTAACAATAATGAACTTGAACTCGAGCCCGAGTCAATCAACCAACAGAAGATTAAAATGTGACGAACTTAAGTTTACTTCTAGCTGGGAAATTTTCAGACAGAAGGCCAGCAACCCGTTTCCATCTGCCGGACTATGTCCAATCTTATTTGTGCGCGCACGCGAAGTTGTTCAGCATGCGGGAACCGCGCACAGCGTTTGTGGGAAACAACCGTGGCTAACAAGTGCCTATTGCCGATGCCATGGCGAACGACGGGTTGACTGAGTTTTCCCAGTTACGTGGGAGTTTCCACATGCAAATATGTGAATATTGGCTGAGATGTTAAAGCTTCGGCTTGTATGGAAATGTTGATTTGTGATAACTCTCATTGCAGCAAGTGTTTGGTTTCGTTTTCCAAGAATAACGGCGCTCGTCCGAACGGAACCTACAGCTAGCATGATAATCTCAAAGGTTCAACCTTATCGCGAGATTCTGGAATGTAATGAAAGTCTGTCAAGCAAAATATGAGGAGCAGTTACGCTTAAATGCTCTGAAAGGACCCGGATTTTGCAAACAGTGAAGGCGAGTGACGCAATCCTTTTCTGAAGCAAGTAGTGTCAGAGACAATTTATTGCATAACTATTGCATAACCGTGAGAAAATGGTCCAGCACGTGAAGGTTAATGTTTGACGCGTAGTTCGTAAAGAGAAATTTTAAACAATATTGTTGTTCATAAACATTTTGTTACTTTGTCACGCAGTTTAGGGCTGACGTATGTCATGTTTCAGGTGACAAAATGCCCGTCGCCGAAGTCCGTGTTTTAGATTCCTCCAACTTCTCTATGCCGCACTATGTTTACTTGCGTCCCCACGTAAAATACTCTATCCAGATTTGACGAAGTTACATAGGGCGACCACGTAAGGCTCCATACTTCACAAAATTAGGCAACGAAATTTGTCATGGCTTGAGTCGCATACCGCAACAAGATCGGCGGATTAATTCGAAGTGTTCAACGGACGCAACAAGCGGCTACGTTGAAACCATTTATAAGTGTACCAATTAGAACACACTGCTCACCCATAATACCGCCTTAAGAAACTCAGCAAAACACAAAACACACAGATAATAGCATGAACCTTTGCTAACATTAGAGTCTTCTAGATTGTCGCATAACTTCCTGCGCCCTCCAGCTATCCCATCCACGAAGCGCTTTTCCAAGCTAAATTGTTTAAACCATTAAATTAGCCATTTGTAAAAAGTGATTAGACATTTCATTGAACTCACTACATATGGTTACATGAACGTCAATCTTCAAAATATTCATAGGTTATTCGGAAGAATAAATCACATCTAAGCCTTCGCAGACAGGTATGCGATTCTATTGCTATTTGCAACCATCAACAAACTTAAATATCTTGTTATTCCGTTTTCCATGGTTAAATCGCGTCACTATTACTTTTTGTCACTGCTTCGTCTCTTCACAGTTATTTTACATATGAAAGCAGGAATGCAGAATGTCTGCCATTGGTGAAGAAGAAGACATGAGAAGCTTGTGCTTTATCACATTTCACAATTCATTGTCGGCTTATGAACATGGATAACCGTCAGAAATTTCAAGCAAACAAAAAGTCGTCCCTAATATACAGGTACAAGGTAATCGTTAATCAAATCTACAATATATTTATCTGCATTTATATAAGTCTTTAAAATTACAAACCACCAGCGTTTTCACATAAATGATGCCTTCCTTAAATGAATAAAAGTACTTTTTAAAGTTAGCAGTGTAAACTTGTGGAACATCACAGTTAGTATCATAGGGCAGTTACATATTTACCCATCTGTTCTGCACTTCTTAAGGAGCGTCAGGTAGTGGGAAGTTAAATGTTGGATGTTGTGTTTCGTGTATGCTAGTAAATACGACCCAAATTCTGAACGCTTTATGATCCACTTGACATACGCTATAGCTGTTGGATTCCGCTGGATTATATTTGATCTTCTATGTAGCAAAAGTACTTTAGCAGGACCAGATAATACTCTACGATTCTAAAGATTTATTATAATTAATGCAGAAACCTAAACCTAGACCTTACCATAGCTACGACACCATAACTATCTTCAGTAACATAAAACAAGGTACTCCTAATATTAAATGATAGTAAATATATCCAAAACGCTACCCATTTCCCTTGCTCACCAACACCGCTTCACGGCATTTCTAGCTCACAACATTCGCGAACCCAGCGCTTCTACAATTGCCTTTACCACTGGAAGATAAGGGGTAATACTTTACCATATCCTCTCAGCGGAAATTCGTTTTTGCTCCTTTTACTGCGACATTGACAGAGTTTCCTACATAATCTCGATATTTTTTTCATAAAACTATTTACAAAATCATCAGTATGACAGCCAGTTAGGTTATGAAAAGGAAATTTTGCATAATGCGCGGGTAATTGATAACCCGTATGAAATAGTAAACACATCGGAAAAATGAGCAATAGTTATTTAGTGAGTATAAATCCCTGTCCCGATTATCTTTACCGTTAAAATTGCGCAAGTAATGATGGTTCGCAACACGCTACAGTTAGTCAGTATTTGAAGGTAATATATTATACCGTAAAAAGTTCTTTCAATATTTCGCTGATACGAGAATAGCTATTAGACATTTAATTCTTGCTGAACTATCTAAAGAGCCACACCTTTTCTTCCATTTTTCCACTTTTTAACTGTAGTTTCAACGCTCCACTATGTTTGCCCGATTTGTACACACACGTCAATGTTAATGGACGCTTATCTTCATGTCCTATTTAGCAGTGTAACATACATGA